AAGCAAACAGGCAGACAAACAAAGTGCCAGGAAAATTAAATAAAATCCGCACAAACAAAGAGCTGTGGTCGGGCAGGAGAGAGCCAACAGGGGGCGAGGCTGTGGGCCGGCGGAATCATCTGAAAAGCTTCGCACGGAAAAGAGATATACAAAGATACTGGAGCAGGCCACTTAGATTGCGGCTGGGACAGCCACAACAAATGTGTATCTTTGTGTGAGAGAGTATCTGTGTGTGGGCTTTGTGTTTGTGATAAAAATAAAGCAATTGAAGGAGCAGGCGACAAAGGCCAACAGCAAAAAGATACAGAAACAACAGAAACAAGAGAGAGGGATAGAGCGATAGAGATTGAGATGGTGCAAGGATGAAGCGTGGCAGTGAAAACGGAGTGGGAAAATTAATTACCCTTCCTTTTGGCTTCAGTTTTGTTTTGTTTACCATTTTCATTTAATTACCGCCAGCGCACTAATCTGAATGCTTTAGTTCTACGTAACTTACAGCTGTCATTTGCGAAGCCTACACTTTTCGTAGGTTACGAGTTTAAGAGAACAATTGCTATAAATGCTTTGACAGACTCAATTTGTATGAGTCTCAAGTGCGACAAATAAGCTGATTTTTATCCGGTGTAAATGTTAATGGGAATGGGAAAAGTAGCACACAAGGAAAATATTTCGACGATTCAGATCTTGTATCGAACTCTTGTATTCAGTAGTATCAACAGTCAATAGTATATACATACGTGTCTTTAAACCATCCAATGGGTTCTCAGATTCTGTGTATTGAAAAAAGCATTGGAGAGTTTGTGAACAAAATCATTAATATCTAATAAAATAAAAAATAATGAAGAAATTAGTCTAAAAACAAAAATGAAAAAATCCTTCTTTAAGCTTATCGAACTCCCCAACAAATTCGAACGGAGAAATGCGGCGCTGGAAAGTATGCAACAAAAGACGACAACCATTTTGTGTATACGTGTGCGTATACGCAATCAAGGACGGCCAGCAACTGCTGCTATGGGCTATGTTGGATAATCAAAAATGTTAATTCACCAACCCGAAACATTCAGCAGTCTAAAGATCCTGGATGGATGCCGATGGCATTTGCATGTCCTGCAGTCTCGGCCTGTCTGCACCTCGCTGCGTGCCAGGCGCGAATGCCTCGACTGTCGGCCAGTCTGCCTGCCTGCCTGCCTGCCTGGCTGACATTATCAGAAGCCTTCATTCATGGATACCACACGAGGGAAAAACAAAAAGGAATACAAAACAAGCAAAAAAAGCCGAGCAGGAGCAGCTCCTACTTTTTGATTCGTGCAGCTGCGCGTCGGGTGCGCGAGGTAGAGAGGTTTGGAAGCCACTGGAAGGACAAACAGGGATAACTGCAATGGAAGGCAGGTATTCTGGCAAGCCAAAGTAATTTGAGAGTGAGTTAAAAGCTCTCAAAGAGAGACTCTTAAGAGAAAACTGTCTACAAGTGTCCAAAACCAAAGAGCACACCGAAAGGACAGGACACAGGACTCTCTGCAGCATCTCTCTCACTCTCTCTCTTTCCCTATGGGTTTCTTTAAGGGCGCTCTCGCCCTCGCTCTCGCTCTGAGGGCGCCTTGTAGTTTTTCGTTTGTGAAAGCCATTTTTCATTCATGCGAATTTACTTTAAATTAATTTTTTTGTGGGGTCATAAATCATTTTTGGCTCTGGACCTTACGCATGCTGAGTCTCTATGTGCGAGGGAGTATTGAAGTGTCCGTGTGTGAGCTCATGTTAGTGTGCGTGTAAGGTCTTGAAACCTGTATTCGTGGTGAGTGCATGAATGAATGTGTCATGTGTACTTTAAATACTTTCAAATTAGTTTCGATTGCACTGAATGATCGCGTTTGCAGTAGAGTAGGTCAAGTAATGCGGTGTACAGCGGAATAAGGGGTACATGAAAATAGTTGACCTTTGTGAAGCATGATTAGAACTGGCTATCAGTAAGGATCGTATAATATTAATAATCTATACATAAGTAAATATGTACATATATTGGCGTTCGGCTTAAGTTGGGAAATTAATGTTGGTGTTCCTTGTGGTTTCTTTACCTGTTGTATGTCTTCTCATTATCTAAGCTATCTATTTGTATTTGTTGGTTTAACAATTAACATTTATTACATACATATGTATTTGTGAATAGCGCTCTCAGCTCGGTGGGAGTATGCACTTGATCTAATGGATCGTGTTGCACTGACATAGCAATCAATACGTTTACTGTCCTTTAGTTATCTCAACTGAATAACCTATTTCTCATGGAAAGTGCCCAACATCTGGAGGTGAATCGACAGGAGCACGTCTCTATTGACAGCACCCCCACTCCCACCGCTACCCTCTCTAGAAGCATTTATCTTTAGGTTAACTAACACCATGAAAGCTCGGCTCAGCATTCAGAGAGAGAGGTTCAGGGAGTTGAGGAGATTCTCTCTTGAGAGAGAGAGAGAGAGAGAGTGGGACTATTTGCGCACCTCCAGCACTCTCTTACAGCCTCCACAAGGTAAGCGACAGGAACGAGCTTTGAGGGAAGAGCTTTTAAGCTTCTTCCAGGCACAGGAGTCACGAGTCCTGACGACTCGCTAGGACTCGTGTATGGTCACATCTTCCAGCCTTGGCTCTAGCAAAAAATCACCTCCCCCCACCAATCGCCGAACCCCGAACCCCGAGCAGGAGCCAGAGCCAGAGCAAGAGCCATCGCTCGTTTTCTGCACAAGGATGTTTCGTTGGATGCTCGGGCAGGGCTCGCTGGCATTCGTCGCCTCTGCAGTCACTTCCAGGGTTGCCTGGCTGGCACTGTTGGACGAGCATCGGATTCAGTTGGTGTTCCGGTTTCGGGTTGTGCTGTCAGTTGCCTTTTTCTCCGTGCACAGCCACCGAGAGATTGAGTTCCATCAGCGTAGTGTCGCGTCGCGTTGGTTGTGGTCTGTGTCCGTGTCAGTGTCCGTATCTGTGTGTGCTGCTCGAGCGTGTGCGTGAGTGCGTGCGAGCGTGTGTGTGTGTGTGTGCCTCTGCCTGTGCCTGTTGTCTGTCGCTAACGGTGCGCGCGCGTGTATCGGCGAGAGTGTGTGCGTGCGTGTACTGTGCACTAAAATGCCATGTACATAGATACTAATACATGCCTACCACACACATACAGACATGGGAATAAATTAGAAAACGTTGCTCGAATACTCCTGTGTACCACCAGACCATCAGACCATCATACCATCATACCATCAGACAAGCAGGTAAAACAGCCAAACTGTTCATGAATATATATGGTATATATCGTTTACACGCGTGCGTGTCTGTATGTAATCTAGAGATGGAACTGCGTGAGCGAGTGTGTGCGTAGAAACTCAACGTGCGTGAGTGAGTTCGTATGTGTGTGTGTGCCTTCCAAGAGGAGGAAATTGATATTCTTATTTCTTCTTGGGCAAAATATATAGACTTTGCTTATTTGTATGTGTGAGCTTGCGAAAATTCCATCAGCAGCAGCATCAAAATCATCGTTATCATAATCATCATCAGCATCAGGATGATTGTCACCGTCGCAACATTGTTGTACACACACATTTTGCATTCCCATCCCATTCCACATCCTTCCTTCATCTATTTTTTATTTTTATTTTTCCCTATCTTCCATTTTGATTTTTATTATTATTTCGATTCAATTCGATTCGATTTGATGGCGCCCGCAAATGTTCTGCCAAATTTCTAATTGACCATCAAGGCGATGCTGTTTCAAAATGGAAAGTATCTTGCGGATACATGTCAAGTGCAACTCTCTCTCTGTCTCTCTTCCTTTTGTTCGCTCTTTCACTCCTTGTGTGCAGGTGTATGTATGTGTGCGTGTATGTCTGTGTGTGTATAACAGGTGCCAAAAAATAAATGGCAATGGTTACTTTTATGTTCAAATTGTGTATTGTGTGTGGGAGGATGTCGGGATGGTGGATGGTGGATGGAGGATGGTGGGAGTAAAAGCGAAAGATATTCTGGGGCATTGGCATTGTCAACAAGTGAGAAACTCGTGATGATTGCCTGCTGAATAATTGGTGGCTTTTGAAATTAACTAAATTCCAATTCGTTTCCTTTCTTTCCCTTTTTTCCGCTTTGCAGCCTCGAGCTATGGATGACAGAACTAAAACAAACCGAAAACTATATAAATAAAATGAAAAATATACACATAATTTAAGGCTAAGCAATATTTATTCTGATTGAGTGAGAGGAATTACAAAAATCCAACAGTGCGCGCACAAAACCGAAAATCGAAAACTGCGTGAAAAATCTTTTATCGTTCGACACTAAAAACCCGAAACCAATATTACCGAAGCAATGGAAAAAGGCTTAACATATAGACTAAAACAAAGAAAACTGCACAAAACCTAAACAAAATAAACTATAAGCATTAAACATTAACGATGACAAAGAGAGATATTTTAAACATATTGTATATACTGTAAAATTTATTCGAACAATATACAAAAAAAGAAGAAGTATTTGTGCACACAAGGAGGCGACAAATGGATTTTAATACCTATCATTTGTACTCAGCAACAACCGAAACAAGAAGAAATCACTTTGAATGCAAATTTTCTGTTATATAGAAAATTGTTATAAAAACGCAGCGATTGCTGCTTTAATTTTCAATAAGCAGGCGAAACACGCACAAGATTGATAAAGTAAATACCAAAGAAAACAAAAGATCTACTGTGGAAATTTGTTCACTTTAAATTTAATTAAATCATTCGATCCACTCGATACATAGTCGTACATATGCATATTCCGATAATCGCATATATCTCGCATCTAAGATATAATCATTATTGAGATAAAATTACTGGCATTACACTCATGAAATCTCAAGAGGTCGCGGCAGACAAATTTGATAAAGTATTTGTAAACAAAAAAATAAAACAAATTTAATGAATAAAACAATAAATGGAGCATTTCTAATAACAACTATTCACCTAAATCAACTAAATATTTATATACCAATCGGATCGCCTAGTTATATTGATTGCAAAATCAAACAGGAACACAGAAGAGGTGAGTGCTAAGTGCAAGTATATGGCTTGTTGTGCGAGTATTTATTTAAAAGAGACAAACCATCACCTCCAATGTTTTTAATTTGAAAAATAAATAATTCGAAATATTAAGTAGAGCCAATTTTTAAATTATTTATTTAAAATTGCGGGCCAAATAATTCGTTGAACTAATTAAGTTTGAACGTATATGAATATACCAACAAATAGTTATTTCCAAGAAAAATTAAATATATCTCCAGCTCTTTGAAAACTCTAATATGTCTTCGCATATTTTTTCTTTATCAAATTTTGTACTAAACAAATTTAATATGAATAATTTGGTTGAATTATTTGTCTCGAACTAAATATCAAGTCGTCAGGCGAATGCATAAATTGTAAAAGAAAGATACATTCCTTACTCAATGATTCGAAATATTTTATATTTATTGTACAAAATTTAGTGCTGACATTAGCTGCTGTTAATTTAGATAGATAAATTTTCGAACATTGTTGCCAAAGAAGAGTATAACGAAAATGAAGTTTGTGAAAAAAAGACTGATCCACGCCCTAAAAACTCATCACACTCGAAAGCTGCAAGGAGCAGCTCTCTCACACAGCAACGGCCATAACCACAGGCATAATTTAGGTATTTTTTCTGCTCAGGCTATGGCTCCCTGGCTCTGGATGCTCCCCTCCGTCAAGCTCCGTTCCGGATACCCTTGAGGTTGCAGTGCCTGTCCCCGTATACGGATTCCAGCTTGATTTTCTTTTGGTTTATTTCTCGGGCAAGCATTTTAAAATTGTTCCATTGACCTTTGAAGACCACACAGACACATTTAAATACACAGCTGGCACAGCTGGTGGGTGGTTGGATGGTTCGGTGGTGCTGAGTGGGTGTTCCGAGAGCCAACAGAGAGTGTCGCAGCAGCAGCGGTGTCGGAGGGGGCAGTGGCAGTGGCTGTGGCAGCCTCTCCGAGGACAATAAAAGCCAGCGAACAATTGCCAAATAAATAACTTGACGCACGCTCCGCTCCGCTCCGTCCGTCCGTTTGTTTGCTCTAGTGCCGTGGTTTTTGGGCTTTGCTTGATTTTCATTTTCATTCTCATTCTCATTTTCATTTCGCAGAGAACACACACAAACGCACGCACATGGACACATTTGCTATCATGTTGCATATTAAAAGTGCTCCGGCATCCTGTTTTTGTTTCCATCTTCTACAGGCGCTGCTCATTTTGACCAGCCGCCGTCTAGTACATCCCTGCACTTGGCTCTTTTTCATTAATAACATGACACAATTCGTGCTGCATTGTTCTAAGCCGACTGCGCCTGAGAGCACTTTTGGCTTCGTCGCCTTCTTATGCTCATTATGCTCATTTGAGGCTTTGTCTTTTGGCCAGACCCAGACCCAGACCCACCATACAGGCTGCCGTTCGTGCTTCAAGCTTGTGTTAACGGCTCGCTCTCTCTCTGGCTCCAGCTCCGGCTCCTGCTCCGTCTCCGGCTCGGGCCCGGGCCCTGGCAGCTTTTTTAGTCATTTCTTTTCATCATTCATTCAGGCAGACTCCGGCATTCCCTCACTATACCCACACCCACACCTACAGCCACACGACAGGTGTGCGGGGCGTACACCATAGCGCCCCAGCACTCATCAGAAAATTCAAATGCAAACAGCCAGGCGGCAGAGAGAAGACAGCAGAAACAAAAGTGCAACTGTGAGTGTGTTTATAGATATGTATACGCATATACGCATACCCTTGAAAGCTCGTCGGGGCATACGAAGTGCGTAGGGTTGTTTGTTAAGCCAGTGCAAATCTTTTTAATGTCAGTCAATAATTATGTGCAAAAGAAGATTAAGGGAGGAAGTATAGTTAGTAGTTAGTGTCTGCAGTGCTTTAGCTAAATAAATTTAGTTATCAAGAGGAATAATTAACGAATAAAGATTTATTATCCCACTCTCTGAAAATTATGCATTCTCCTTAATATTTTAGATATAGTACTTATGATTGAGCTCTTAGAATATAATTATAATGATTAAAAACCTAAAATGTATAGATTCTAGTAATTTATTTGATTATTTGCATCTTTAAATTCCATTCAGTAAGAGTATCTCAAAATGTAATTCCATTCCCGTTGTTGTTCACGTTGCCTTCGCTTTGGCCGACGATGTCCTTAATTATGTGCCAGCAGCCCTGACTGACTGCCACAGTGCCACAGTGCCACAGTGCCACACTGCCACACTGATTGCTGAAAGGACACTCGCACGCATACTGCCAAACGTCTGCCACACGTTGGCGTTGGCATAGGCGTTGTCAGGCTCGGTACTCGCGGCTGTTCGGCTCGTGGCGGACTCGCGGCTGAGGACGATGTGTCGTGATGCTCCTGTCGCGCTTCTTCTCATGTTGCAGAGTTCTTGTTGCGCTTGTTTTATCGCTCTTGTTGGGCCGTTGTTGATGAGTGTCGCTGTTGCTGTTGTTGCTGTTATTGCTGTTGTTGTTGTTGTTGTTGGTCCTCTCTGAAGTGCGCTCTTGTGGAGGGTGTCATGTCCGCTTAGTTGTTGCCGCACTGTCGTGCCCTCTGCTGTTTGCCGCTGTACTTTGAGGCGACACCGCCGACGCCGTCGCCGGAGCCGTCGCCGCTTACTTACTGCTTATTTATGTATGAAGGACCTTAAACTTTCTAGCAAATGAAAATGGCCGTAGCTAACCTGAAGAGACACCAGAGATGGTGGAGGGGCGTACGAAAAATACGAGTATATCTACAACAAATGGCGTAGCTGCTTTTTAATCACCGTCGGCGACGCAGTTTTCAGTTTTCACCTTTCAGTTTCTCTTTTCCATTTGCAAAGTTTCTCACGTGTGTCCTCCTGCCCTACTCCTCCACAGCATCAGCATCCTTGTAGTCCGACACACAAAGGATGACACACAATGCTCACTTTTTTCTACTCTGCTCTACCTTCCCCTTCCCTTCAGCTGACTGCGCTTCTTCTATTAACCTTCTCTTCGCGAATGAAAAATGAATTTAAGGTTAACAGTTCTCAGAGTTCTGTTCTTTTCTTTGCTTTGTTTTGTTTAGGCCACTTAATTTAAGTCGAAACTAGGCCAGGTCATAGGTGGTCCTGGTAAATATATGCGGATAGTGGGCACAGCTGAATGGTCAGCCAGGCTGACGGAAGTTGAAAAATCTTTTTTCTTGCAAGCTAATAGCCAACAGGATCAGATCTTTGAGATGAGTTTACGGATGACTATGTCAGGTGGATGGCAGAATGGTTATAAACGAAAGAACCTCGGAATAAATACTAGTTATTAATTCAATTTTGAATACAAGTTAGCATAATTTAAAAAGTAGGAATGATAAAAAAGAATTGGAAAAACCTAATGACCTAATGCAGCAAAAAAGCTGAAAAATGTGCGAATCTTAACTTGTATTTTCAAGGAATATAAAAATAAGAGGAATACTTAATACGAGGAAACGAGGAACGAGGAAAACATAACATGTACCTGCAGTGCAACTCCTGGGGGAAAACTGAAAGTTTGTTGGAAATTTGTATTTCAACAGAAAGTCAATTTACTTCGTACTGAGCACGAGAACAAATTTTGTTGTAGGGTTGAAGCACTGCTGTAACTCGATTTGAAAGTCATCCAACGCATATCTAACGAAAACTATGGCCTCATTGGATCACGGTGTATAATCCATGCTGTGCCTAGTACTGGTACTGGTATACAAAGTCCACGGTCGTGTCAGCAGACAGCATCACGACGCAGAGGCACCCCTTGCTCCGACGCCATAATTTAGGCAATTTTATTGCTCATTCGAGGCTGTGTCTGCTAATCTATAATTAAAATTATTGTCATATCATTTGGGAACTGAAAACTTTTGCGTGGCCGAAACTTTTCGCTGCACAAGCGAGGGGAGGGAGTGAAGGCTAAGCCATGAAACAGCTTAACATGCTACCAGTTAACCTGTCCATGACCAAGCTCTCTACCTCTGCCTCCGACTTCCATCCAATCAAATCCGATTCCGGGGCGTAGCAGAAGCGGCTACGTGCCTGTGCATTTGAGCAGCAGATGTCACATGGCCAGGCCCAGGCCGAAACTTTTTGGCCGAAAGCAACTTAGATAATTTAACAGAGTGGGGAGCAAAGAAAGGTGCAAAGGACTTCCTTAACCGACTTTTTGGGGTCTCGGGGCCGGTTCCCTACGTGAGATAATGCAAATTTATAGCTGGCAATTAGCGGGTCGCGAATCGCAACCTCAGTCGAGGCCATAACTTAGGCACAAGAACTTTGACTAGTCCCCAACACCGAGCCTAATTGCAGTTGCCAACATGAGAAATCTCGGGCAGAGCTGCGAGTGGATGGATTTTCCGACTGCGTGGAGGAGCGCTGCACGGGGTGCTGTGACAAACCAAAATCCAGTTAGCGTAACCCTCTAAACCATTAATTATCTTGGGAGGCGCTGCGCATACATACGTGCTGTATATGTATATGTCTGATGTGGGCTGCCAAATAGATACAGATACAAGCAAAGGGGCCTGCAGATACAGATACAAATACAGATACGGGCTGCTGCTGACTGTCACTGGCACTGGCACAGGCACAGGCACATGCCGAGCAGCGACGAGTTTGCCGTTTATCTGTTATCCAACAGTTACACTTTTCACACACCAACAAGCACCCACAAAAGATGCCCGTCGTGCCGTATCTGTATCTGGGAGATACACACACACACACACACACACACATACACACACGCGCTCGGAGCGAGAACAAGGCATCAGTTGCAATCTGACTTCAATTCAATTATTTTAGATTAGAATGTGACTGTGTCACACACACTTTTGTCTCTCTGTCAGCTGTCATTCATCCGTTCATATGTTCCATAAAGGGAGGACCAGACCGGGACGCAGTCCGGGAGCCCGAAGCTGGTAAAAGGGGGAGGGGACTTCTGGGTGCCAGGATACGTGCCCTATACGACGCCTGTTCTGTCTTGCATTGACAGTTGCGTACTACACATGTGTGGGCGTGCGCCCCTTTTGGGTTCACAGTGAATGTGCTCTACAAAACATTGTCCCAGGGATCCTGACTTGAAACGAGCGTGACAAAAGTTACAAATGCCACAGGCCCAATGACGTCAGACCTACTGTGGCTAGAAAATACTCAATTCATCTAAAAAGAAGCATACAAAAACCAAGAGAATTGATTTGTTTGAGGGCAGAGTTGGGCATTCATTATTGACCTTCAACATCTTTGGAGAATATTTCTCCATCCAGATGATTGTCTAGTGTTTTCTGCGCAGTTACTGGGCACTATCGCTATTTCAAAAACCATACACAAAGTTGTCCTTAATTTCAATATACATACACACCGAACATTTAACATTGATGCCTTACATACACGAATTAAATATATTCCACTACTCTTTGCGTATCGAGCGACAATCATTAATCCCTTATTAGCATAGTTTCTGTCATATATTTTCTGCCCAAAAGAAGGACGTTGTATCTCAAAGATTCCCTGGTTCGATTTCCAAAGTTAAAAGGTTACCAAAAGGCAGGTAAGATCGCAGAATCAGGTAGAAGACCAGACATGTTGATAAAAGTAATATGAAAAGTGAGAATATTAACCGGTTTTAGACTTGGAAAATTTGACCTGCCCTTCCATGAGAGCCAAAGAGTATTGAAAATACTCGTAGATTGTGATAAAACGTCTGGTCTTAGACTGGAGGTTAGCTAAAAAGGAAATCCTATCGCACTTGCCATAGTTCCGCTCTTTCTGACTCATGTATTCAATGAACAACAAATGTATCTTAACGATATTTCCACCTTATCAGTGTCAGTAAGCGAATGCGGGCGACTTATTAAGCGGGCATTATGATAGCAACATAAAAGAGGAATTCTGAAAGAGAGATATAGCTATGAGAGAGTGAGAGCCATCAAAGCCATTGTCTGCCAGTCGGGGGTGACCTTTGGCAGCGCCTCCGATATGCAGCAACCCTCTGAGATTGCCAGAACAAACTTATCTATAGCTATGGCTATTGCTACGGCAGCGGCTGCGGCTGCGGATGTTGTTGTTTCCCTCTGCCTCAGCCTGCGTCTGGCTGCCTGCTCTCCCTCCGTACCATCGTCCCGCAGTCCCGTCGTTCCGCCCGGCTTAGGTCTCAAGCGATCGGCCATTGTCAGGCCAATTTAGTTCTGAGCCGAACGTCGACGCGATCAGTAATAATGAAGATCATCTGGGGCCTCGTACTGTTGCTGAGTACCGTGCTCACAATGGGCACCTCCCTGCGGGAGAACTACTGCGAACGGAATGTGACCGTGCGGTCCGTGCAGCCCGTGACCAAGCAGCGAACCATTGTCAAGCCACCGTCCAAGTGGAAGTTCTGGAAGAAGCCCGAGAAGAAGACCGAGTTCTACAACGCCGAGGAGGAGCAGGTCACTTACAAGCTGGTCAGCGAGTGCTGCCAGGGCTTCATCCAGGTCGAATCGGGTCTCTGCGAACCCGTCTGCGATCGCGGCTGTCCCGCCCATGCCAGTTGCGTAGCGCCGCAACGGTGTCAGTGCATTAGCGGTTACATCTCCGCCCTGAACCACCAGGACGGAACCCACTACTGCGAGCCCATCTGCGAGAGGGGCTGTGCCAGTGGCTCCCAATGCGTGTCGCCCAACACTTGTGCCTGTCGCGAGGGTTACCAGCAGCTGGCCCCCTCTGGCGACGGAGTCAGTGGCGACTGCGTGCCCACCTGTCAGCTGGGCGACGGATGTTCCAACGGCAAGTGCGTCGACGTGGAGCGCTGCTCCTGCAATCCAGGCTATTTGTGGGACAAGGAGGAGGACAGATGCACGGAGGTCAGTGCCGAGTCGATCGCCGATGAGCTGGAAACAACTGAATACAGTGCAATGGAAGCAGCCACCGCAACTGCCACCGCTACTGCCGCCACCGACTGCCCGGAGGACTTTATACTCTTCCGCGGCGAGTGTCGGGAGAAGCAGTTCAACAGCAACGAGTCGGGCTGTCTCCAGGGTGGCTGCGGTCCACACCAGACCTGCAACGAGTCGGGCCTCTGCCAGTGCGCGGACGGCTATGTTCCGGAGGAGGGCGCCGATCAGAACGCCAATCTCAGCTGTCGCCGCACCCTGCTCGATCAGATACTCAGCCTCGACGCAGCTACCGATGACGAGGACGAGTTGAATCCCTGGACCATTCCCATCATCGGTGTGGCCAGCGGTGCGCTCTTCGTGCTGCTGCTGGTTGGTCTGCTCGGCGGAATGCGCCACCGCCAGAGACGATCTGGTCCAAATCCCAAGCCCAAGGAGGGGGAGCTGCAGTGTCAGTTTTCGCAGAAGAGCTACGACGTGGACGAGTGGGTGCCATGAGGTGAATCTGGTCAGGTGGGTCTCATGAGTTCGGCTGTGTTAGATCATCTTTGATTTTTTTTATATTATAAATATTATTTGAGAATAAAGCTTACGGATTTTAATTGTGAATGTTTGAATGTAGTCTGAAATGATTTTTACCTTTTAGGGTGGTAGTTATTTCAGACATAATCTTTTCTGTATATGTTCATAAGTCGGAGCCTGGAGGATTGGTTTACGAATTACAATTAATTAAGCTTTCATTGAGAAACAATAATTAAAAATGTTGTACATTTTTGCTTCCTAATAACTAAGTACAATGTCACTGGCTAATCACTTTCCACGTACTATATCTAGATTTATGATAAAAGAAACTCCCCTCCACCCGCAGAAACTCATCAATGACTAAGGCTCTTATTTCGTCTCATTCATTTATTATGTGTCTAAATGATTAATGAATGTTCAACTGAGTGCATTTCTTGCACTTTGGCTGCTTCCTTATCAGCCTGAGCTTCTGTTCAGGGAAACTCAATAGAATAAATGCCCCAAATTGTACGAATTACTTCAAAGAGCATTGAAAATAACTCTGAATGCATTTTCAAGGGGACTGACGTTCAGCAAACAGATAAACTGATTGAGAAAATGCTCGTGGAATCTTTTAATCGTTCGAAGTTAGTATCGTGCTGTGTTTTGTGTGTTTTGCTAGTGGATTCAAACTGTTTACAGCGCCATTCCGCCATTAGGTTGTTCATACTGATTGTAAGTCCCTCAGCTGCCATGTGCGCTCATATGCCGATTACACGGATATATAAATAAAAAATTCATAAATACGGGCATGTGAGGAAGGAGAGCCACAAGCGAGGCAACAAAATGTCTAAAAATACTCATACATATGTACATGTACATACATATAGTACCTACATACATATATACACAAATACCCCTAATACTTGGCGCTGGGAGAGTGCGGAAAAGCAGCGGAAACATAATATACAATATATATGTACAATAGATGTGAAAAATATTGGGGTTTTGTTTTACTCTACATATTTTTGAATCTTAAAAGTAAATTTTCGTCCATTGCTTACACATCCGCATCAATGGACCAGCATTTTTGTGTATCTGTGTCTGTATCTGTATAAATGTATCTCGCAGCGGCACAAAGATCTTTTAGCCATAATCGCTGCACATTTGTATATATTTCGCATAGAACTAACACACAGAGAGCTGAGCTTTAAGGTAAACAGGGAGAGAAGAGAGAGTTATCACAGAGAGACGACTCTCAAACGGATAAAAAGAGTGGGAGTGTATGTGTCTGTACAGCAGAGAGAGACAGGGAGAGAGACACAGAGAGAGGGACCAAAGTGCGTGAGAGCGCATAAACATTGACAGCGTGCAAATTCTTAGAAAAATTCTCGTATAGCAGGAACAACCGACGCACAAAAGACCGCTCTCTCTAGCCCCCCTCTCCACTTCTAAACGCTTCACCCCCAGGACCTCGACCAGGACCAGGACCTTCTGACAGGAGCAGCATCAGAGGCAGAAGTAGAAACACCAACGACAACAACAGCAACGAGAATACTTAAAGCTTCTTTAATTTTTATGTTGTTTTTTCTTCTCTTTGTCGGTGCCTTGAGTGCGTCCGCGTCTGTGTGTGTGTGTGTGTGTTTGTGTGTGAATATCTGTGTGGGCCTCAGCCATTCTCTTTGATTGCTTTTGTGCGTGCCTCTGTGTGTGTGTGTGATGGTGTAACCTTTGCTGGTGAACATTTTTGCGTGGGAAGTTGCCCAAGGACATGGACTCGGCTCAACTCAACTTGACTCGACTCGACTCGTTGCTCGCTTTTGCCTTTGCCTTTGCCTTGGCTCTTGCTCTGTTTCCTCCCCATCGCCTTTTCCTCCTCCTCCTTCCTGTCTTGGTCTTCCTCGAGCTCGGCATTTTTCCTGCTCATTTTTCTACTCTCTGGTTTTTGCCCAGCTTGCTCTTTTGCTGCTTAGTTATTTATTTATTATTTGTTGTTTGCAAAATTTATTTTAGTCCAGCAAACGAACAAAATGTGCCAAATACTCTGCGAAATTTTTAACTAAAATTCTGAGCAACTATATATGTACGTATGTATGTACGTATGTACATGTATGTATGTGATTTATAAGTGAAAAGTAAAAATAGTTACCATAAAGATTCCGCGCTGCTGGTTGACTTTTCCCTAGTTTTGAGCAAAGCATTTTCACGGCTCGTTTGGCCACAAAATGACAGCGTTATGGTGCGGGGCATTAGGATGGGGGAGGGGCAGTAGGCGGCTGGAAGTAAAAGTTGCCGCAGTTCAAGCTTTAACCTTGGCAGCGAGTCAAGGGATTCATTCATGGGATAGGGCTGGGCGCTTATATTTTCATACAATACTCGCATATGGACAGTTCCACGGGTCGCGACGTACTTTCGCACGCTTTGATGTACAAAAAAAAATATAAAACAAAAAAGTACGTACGCGAGCAAGAACTTAATTTTGGCTTGATCTAGTAAAATAGAAATATCTGAAAAACGAAACAGAATATTTTAAGGCAGTTAATATATTTTAAAAGAGGATTAATGTTGGTTTCTATCGAGAATTTATACAATTAATAATCTGTATTTGTGTGTTTTTAAATTAATTTAAGTTCCGTTTTTCCATGTGTTTTTTTTTAACTTTATCGCCTTACATATCTTCCTAAATCATTTCATATTTCCTTAACAACCAACTTAGTTGGCTTTTTAGAGAAAATTTACGGAAAAACTTTCATCAAGAATCATCTTTCTTATAGGAGAAAATAAAAATACCAAAAAAACCGAAAACTTACCGCACTTTTGATTATTTTAATAGGCTTTTCAGATCAAAGTTAATGGAATTATATGCCATTTGGTTAAAATAATTAGTTAAATTTATGTACATTTAGAAAATAATATCGTGGTAAAAGTTTATGGGAATGGGCTTATATTAGCTTTTGGTTATTTGATCTCTGTGGACTTTTCCACGGTAATGCCAATTTACGACGTTGAGGAGATTAAATTGGGAAAGAGAAAAAAGGGAAATGAGGATTCTGTAGAATCCATTTTATCTTTAATACAAATATTCAATAATATATATAAAATAGTATTTAAACAGAATGTGGCTTACAGAAATTATAGACTGATGCTCTGTCATACACTTTTTAGTCAAAGTTTAGTAACTATCCTATTAGAATGATAATAGAAAGAACCAACTATTTTGTGACTTTTCCATTAAAAATTCACATCTTCCACGTTTCTTCGTCTTGCATATTCCGCTCATCTGAAAGTGCTGATTGGTGCTATGGACAAAGAATGTCCGCGTTGTCCTGCGCTCGAATTTGAAGCTGAGTTGGATGGTATGAATCATTAGGAAAAGTGCAGCAGGCTATAATTGAGAATAATATAATAGTATAGGAAAAACTTTTCCCATTTTCACAACAACATTTTTTTGTACATACCTCGTAAAGATTTGTCCAATCAGTCCAATATATCTTACGATTATATCTGCCGAAGTTGCAAAATATGATATAGATGGTTGGGGGTTGCATCGGGTCCTGCTGGCAGTCTAGATTTATTGGTCGTTTATCTTCAAGGTTAAATATATTACTTATATGGATCCATGAGTTGGGAAAATCGACTGGAAGCCCCTTTCGTATGCATATCTTGTGCTGTATTTTACGGCTTATTTTCATGCGCATTCAACAGATTGATTTACAATGGTACAGGGAGTGGGGGGATAAATTCCCTCAAGTAAAACTGATGATTCCTCACTGCCTGCCGAGAGAGTTGGAGTTGCTATCCTTGCAGTACGAGAGTTCCATTTATTATCGTTTCCCTCTTAATGGGGAACTTCAATTCTTCCACCAAAGATGCAGAAATAAAGTAAAATCAAGCAGCCACTCCTCTCTTCTCTGCTCATTTTCCCGTTCTTCCCTCTCGACTGTGCGGGAAATTATTCAGTGTGTACTTGTTGATGCAGCCCTCGAATAACACTTACTACCGATGGCCCCAGCCCCAGCCCCAGACCCACCATCTTCCAGCTTCCATCACTTTCTTTCTCTTTCTCTCTCTGCTTACCCCTGCGTGGCTGTGGCCCACTGCAGCTTCTGCAAAAATGCATTGTCGGAAAGTAGGTCGCTGCAGTTAAGCCAGCTCTGTGTGAGTGGCAGGTGGCAGGTGGCTGGTGGCAGGGGGGACCCACTGCAGCTGCAATGGGAAATACCAGTGGCAGCCATCAAATATTAACCACCAGTTGATCCTGTGCAACATGCTTATATAAGTATATCCCTCTGACACGCCCACGCCCACGCCCACGCCCACGCCCACGCCCTCCTGCAGCCCAATTAACTTGTAGAAGGCTGAGAAATATGTATGTGGAAATTCGGCGCTTTTTTGTGGGCCGGCCACTTTATGGTCGAAAGCTTCTAAGCCCAGGTCGAGGGGGGGGGGATGAGGGCTTAGGGGAGAGTTGAAGATCTAGGGGCGTGGCAAATGCAACTTCAGCTTGCCACTTTTGCCGTCACGCCCAGTTAAATAGCAGCTGCAGCAGCGCCAGCAGTGGCAGCAACAAACACAGTTGACCTATTTTTGCGAACGTACGCAGACTTTGAAATTATTTACAGCACCAAAGAGAGAGGCACGCAAAGCGAAAGAGAGAGGGAGTGAGAGAGAGAGAGAGAGAGAGGGAGAGAGAGAGAGAGTGAGAGAGAGAGAGAGTGAGAGGTGCCACAGTGCGTGGCACATATGCATGGTGCAAGAGCAGGGCGGGGGGTAATGGGTTTCAATAATAACAGAACGTCGCCTGCTTCCTCCTTATTCTGCACCAATTTTGCTTCTTCATAATTTTGCAAGCCGATGTTTGCTGCATGTTTATTGTCAAGCTGTAGCAAGGCCACGCCCTACTAGCAGTACACTAAACAAAACTTTATGGCGGCAAGGACTGGAAGCGTAGCTCAGCGAAAATTCTATACCTTATTCTCAAACAACAATGCAATTTACCCACAGAATTTCAGCTCTAATCAGGAATCTAATGTTTTCTTTCAATTCATACGTTTTTCATGCATTGCTTCTTGGATATTTTTCTGAGTGCAGCCGCTGCAATTAGAGAGCTCACGAA